CAATGATCAAAGCAGCTTTATTCAAAATAGCCAAAAGTTGATAATATCTCAATATTCTACAACAGATGAATGGATAAGCAAAATGCGACACATACACAGAGGAATATTATTCAGCCTTAAAAAGGAATAAAGTTCTGATACAGGTTATAACATGGATGAACCTGGAAAACATCATGCTGGGTGGAATAATCCAAACGCTAAAGGTAAAACACTGTGTGATTCCACTTAGATGAGGTACCTAGAATAAGTAAAGCCATAYAGAGAGAAAATGGAAAGTGTTTACAAGGAGCAAGGAAGAAGGGAAATGAGGAACTATTGAGCTGCCATTTTTGCTAGCAATGCCTGAGATAATACCAGGCATATAAAAAGTATACATATTTGTGGAGGAAAAGACAGAAAGAAGGACTTACTGAACTCCTAACATAAAGTTTTCCCATAAGCAGATGGAGATCTCAAAGCCTTTCCTCGTGTGTACCTAAACCAGTCATGACCACCAGGACTCTGACCACTAGTTTTGCAAAGAACCCCAAGAAAGATGAGAACCAACCGTGACATTTCAACGTCAGCAATCCATCTCAGAACTTCAGAGAACTGGGATTCCGGGTGCTTCCCTTAGAAAATAGCCCAGATGCTGGAAGGGAGAAAGAGGTATTGGGGGTACTGTACACTGAGTTTCACATCTCTTTGGACCACCATTTTGGTATAGCCACTATGTGCAGATGATTGTCACAACAGGTGTGGCCCGACAKCCCTAGCCTCAGCTGCACCCAGGAGCTCTTGCTGCTCAGCTGCTGGTGGTCATCCGAAGCCTGCAGATCCTACTCAGCCTTCTGGGCACAACCTCAAACCTGGAAGAGTGAGGGCCTTTGCACTCCTGGAGCAACACTTGCCCAGTGGGGGATGGGAGCCAGTAGATAAATATCTCCCTCTTCCATATCTCAAGTGGAGGACTCTGAGAAACATTCCACAGTTCCCTGAGGGATTAAGCACCAGTTGCATACTGCGGAAACCAACTCTGTAGCTTACTCTTGGAGTGGCTTTCCTTCCTTCTCTTGGTCACTATTCCCTTGGTCACTATTCCATTTCTGAGGACATCTTTCCAAAATAAACTGCCTGCTCTAAAGCACTATTTCAACATCCACGTTTCCAGCTGACCCAGCTGAGATAGTTAGCAGTCCACAGAACACAGACAGCAAGGGGGTGTGACCAGCACCAGAGTGGCAGGCTCCTGAGCAGCCTGAGATGCTTGCTACGGAGACTCACACCTAGGAAATGCTTTAAAAATAAGAATTAAATGGGGGAAAGCAAATAAGATAAGAGCCAACTAGGGAAGATAGACTATAATTGTCTGTATTACATGACACAGACTCTAAGCAATACAAGCACTGAGAGGAAAGGATGAAGTCTAAAGGGGTGGGATGGGGGGGGAGGAGGAAACAGAGCCTTGAAAAATAATGATGAGAGGAAGGGCCTTAGAAAAGGAAAGGAGTCTCAAGTGTGGAAGAGTCATAGATGGGTCTCACCAGAGCTGGCAACCTCGACACGAAAGTGGTGCAGCCAAGAAATGAGAGTAGATTTTCATGGTGGTCTGTTAGTACAAGGGTGAACCACTTTCAATGAACCACATGAAACTTTCTACATAACATATGACAATCAAATTCTTGGGCTCACAACTTACAATTGACTCCTTTTCTTCCTTCCTTTCTTCTTCCCAYCCTCCCTCCCTTCATTCCTCCTTCTCTCTCACCCCCCTCCACTTTTTTYCTTTTTTAAATCAAATATATATAGTGACTACTTATCAGCCAGGCACACTTTACATATTAAATTATTTAATCCACAGAACAACCTCCTTGAGTTAAGTTCTGTATGGTCCCCGTTTTATCCATGAAGAAACTGGGACCCAGAGAAGTAACCCATCTGGGTGACAGAATCAGAATTGGATCCCTGGTAGTTTGGCTGTCTCTTTCACAGTTGTCCCCCCAATAATCAGTSAAGTCGCCACATTCTATGTGATCATCTCACATGATTCCTTTCCMAGCATTTCCCATGTGTTGTACCCTCACCATTTACAGAATATGTCACCCAMGTAATTTGTATGTTTCCTAAACATCTGAGATCCTGGTATAGATGCATGCTCGTGGGAATAAGAAAAAGACCTAGCCTTGGGAATGGTCACACTCAAAGGCAGACATAAGCATGTGGTTCAATAGAGATGCTTATGGGGTCTAGTGGGGGGCATTATGGAAATGACTCCGAGAGGAAGAACCACTTGAATTGAATGTTAAAAAGATGCTCAGATGGGAAGTGGATTACAGAGCTCAAGAGAAAACCAAATCAGAGAGGTGAACAAAGGTAGGTGAAAAATCAAATTCTTCCTCATTCCAAAGTAGCTGTTTTGGAGCACCTGCTATATACCAAGCCCTAGAAGGTGAGTGGGAAGCAAGCAGAAGAATACTGAAAATAGTTACATGCTGTTCCATTCAATTCATCCCACCTTGTGAAGAATAGCAGAGGTCTTCACACTGTACCCAAAACATAATAAAAATTTGTTGCTTCAGTCTTCTTCCAACACCACTCTAAACCTCATTAGTTAGAGTGGCTTTCTGTAACTGACTATATAAAAACAATATCAGGTACTGTTCTAGGTTCAATGCACTTAGCAAGTGCATGTTCCAGCACACACATACAAAAAAGTCAAGATCAAACATTTCCCCATCATCTCTCTTTCCCCATCTACTCTCTTCTTGATTCTGAGCTTACTTCTTCTTACTTGTCAAATCATTCTTTTTCTTTTAAAAACAATATAGGCAAATAATAAGAAGATACTCATACTTGATATGTTTGCACATGTAATTTTCCTTCCCTAGAATGCTGGTCTCCTTGATTTTCTATCCATCTTTATCTATGAACTATCTCACCAGTATCCAATACAAGGATGACTTTTTTTTTTCACTTGTTTTTGCCTTTCTCTACCATAGTCCCACAGTTCTTGTAAATTAAAAATATTTTGATGTGCATGGCACCAATGAACTTCACTCTGAATGGTTCTTAGCCATGCATGTATGAGCTCGCACACAGTAGGTGCTCAAGAAATGTGTAATGGATTCACAACCAAATATTAAGAAAATGCCACAAGGAAATACCTCACATTATCAGGCACTGTGCTTTAAGATACCTAGTATAAAACCTTCCTTCTCTTCCTCCCCTGGAACACAGATAATGAAATATAATGATTCATCAGACTTGTAAGTAATCCTACTCTCCCCCAAGGAACTACTGTGATACAAATGAAATCATCATTTTATACTGGACAAGATGTTTCTAGAACAGCATTTGGCACACAGTAAATTCCCAGTACCATTTGTAGAAGTTAATTAAAACAATCAGCTCTTTCTCACACCTGCCATATTCTATATAACAAGTTTCTCCAATAAAAAAGTCTGATCTTGAAGAGCAATCCAAATCAAACATGGAGAAAGTCGTCTACAATCCTACAAGACTTTCTTCTTCCTAGAGTTCAAAGCTTGTCAATTGCTTAAGTTAGTTAGCAATGGACCCTCATCGTTCTCCACTCTCAGGGGCTATTAGTGTATCTGCCCAACACTGGACTGGCCAGTCTGCACAARACATTCTCAAATATTTTGTGGATAACAGGAAGCACTGGTACTGCTGATGGTCACTCTGAGTACTGGGATCATGATATCCTGTTTTAAACACAACCACTCCAGTCCTCTCTGCATGGATCTTTTTAAAAGGAAAAAAAAAAAGTAAGTTAGATTTTATCCCCAAATGACCTGGAATAACAAAAGAAAAACTAAACGTCAGAGGAAAGGATAATAATTCTGGGAGTCCAATGCATACCAAACAATAATGCTTTGAAACCAACCATATCAACCCACAAAGTAATAAAGGAAACTTTGGAAATTTTGCACTCATTTGTTTTGTGTGTGTGTGTTATTTTTTTCCTTCAAGGATACTCTACATACTATGAATAAAATGCGTTGGATTGTTGTGAGACTGCCTCTCCCTCCAATCCATGCACCTCCTCATGCATTGAGATCTGCTGGGTGACACATGAGATCTAAAGTGGGTGGATAAAAATAACCCGGTCCTCAAAAAGACATGATAAACGCCAGACAGCTGAGTCACTTTGAAGCCCATCTTGACTCCCAAAAGGGACAATTCACCCTCCTTCTAGTTCTCACACATCCACTTACAACCAGGTGAAAACTACCAACAGCCGTCCTGGGTGGAGGGCGGTGATGCGTCGTCGTTAACTTCCCCTCCAGTCTCTGAGGTCACGACTCGGGATTGAACTTTTAATAATTTATACTAGCGCACGTCAGCCAAGTGACTCATTTAGAAGGGAAAAGAAGAAAGGCTTAAGAAAACCATCCAGTAGACCCCCATTTCTGCTGCCCAAGTGGAGACACCCGAAGATTTTCTCTGACATTCTAATGCCAAGAAACAGTGGAGAGAAATGGAAAGTGGAAGGAGAAAAGCTCAGAGAGGACATAAGAATTGTCCAGGAGTGGGAATCCCGGGGCAAAGCAAAGGGTCCCAGGAAGAGAAATGCTGTGTTTTAGGGGGTACGGGATCGATCCCTACCACCTACTCGCCCCCGACTCTCACCCCAGGGAGGGCGCAAACGATCTGCAACGTGCAGCTCAGAGCAGGGAACTCACTCTTTGATTCCATCTATCTTTCAAACAGTGGCGGGGCTGTGGGAAGGCAGCTGGGGATCGGGGCCCTTGCAGCCTAGCAACCCAGCGCAGCAGACCACTCTGGCGGCCCCGTCTTCGGCGGCAGCAGCCTTGGGGCGCTCGTTAAGTGGCTGCCGAACTGCAGTGCCCCCCGAGCCAACTCCGCTCCGGGAGGAGGAGGAGGTCCCCAGCCGCCGCTGCGCATCTTCTCCCCTGCCTCACTTGCCGCCGAGGTCCGCGGCTCGCGGCCGCCCCAGGCCGCCGGCACCGCGACCCTCCCGGAGGCGCCTCACTTACAGGGGAGTCGTAGGAGAAGGCGCACTCGTTCTTGTAGACCCTGTCCCCGGACCTGGGCACGCGGATGGTGGGCATGTGGGGCACCAGAAGCTCGCCGATGTCTCCTGCAGCCATCTTCCTGCTGCCGCTGCCGCCCGGCATGCTGAACAGGGCGCCCCGGCGCTGCATGGCCGCGGCGCGCACCGAGCAGAGCCGAGCAGAGCCGGGCCGGAGCGCGGGGTCTGCCGGCCGCCGCGGCGCCAGCGGGCGGGCGGGCTGCGCGGGAGACGCGAGGCGAGCCGGGGCGGGCGGGCAGAGCGGGTTGAACCGGCCGCGGGGCGGGAGCTGGCACCGGGGCCCCGGGCTAGGGGGACGCTGCTATTTTTAATCCAATGGCGAGTCGCCGGCCCAGCTGCAGCGTCAGGCGGGGCGCTGGGGAGCGCCAGCCGCAGCGCGCCGGGGAGGGGGCGCTGGAGGGGGCTCTGCGCCCGGCCCGGCTTAGCGGCGGGGGCCGGAGGGCTCCCCGGGACGGCGGAGCGGGATCCCCGAGCCGGCGGGGAGCCAGAACGCCCCGCGGGAATACAGCGGGCTTCTCGCCCACGCCAGCGGCTGCGGCCGGCCACCACCGCGGTGTTTTCGATCCTGAATCCCTAGCTTGCCAGGGGACAGCTCCAAGGAGGCCAACACAAAGAGCAGGACTGAAGCTTACAAAAGAGAGAGGAGAGAGAGAGAGAGAGAGAGAGAGAGAGAGAGAGAGAAGAGGTGACTTGGTCTTGGTGGGACTCGATGTGCAAACCTGGAACCTAATGGATCAAATCCATGTTTGTGCCCGGTTCTTGGGTGTTACCTCAATAAGGCTTACTCCTCACTTTTTAACACCCAAAGCTCAAAAAAAAAAAAAAAATTAGAATAGAATGAAACTCAGTAAGTATAGAGCGGAATGGTTTGCAATAATACAGGTTTTTCTTACTATTGCTAGGGGAGGTCAGGATTTCAGGGTGGAGCAGGTTTTATATTTTTCTCTACCTTTCGAATATCTTCTGTGTGATTCAAGGTCTACAAGTCGAATATCCAGTGGCCTGATTTGAGGATCTTATGAGTAGACATACATATTCCTGGCTTGCTCAACCATTTCTTCAAAAAATAAATGATGAGTGGAGTTGGGTTGGGGAGCTAATTATTTGTGAACAGATCACGCCTCTGAGGAACTATCATTTTCTTTAAAAAAAAAAAAAAAAAAAAAAAAAAAAACTCTTACAACACTGGTTCAATTCCATTGAGGTTGCCTTTCTACATATACAAGTATGTATACACACATAAAAGTGTGTTGGGTGGGCTGGGGTTGTGGCTTAGTGGAAGGAAGCTTACCTAGCACGTGTGAGGCACTGGGTTGGATCCTCAGCACCACTTAAAATAAATAAATAAAATAAAGGCATTGTGTCCTGGACTGAGGATGGAACCCAGTGCCTCACATGTGCTAGGCAAGCTTTCTACCACCAAGCCACAACCCCAGCCCATCCAATACCCTTTTAAGGCATGGACATTCAGTAAAACCTGCTAAGGAATGAAATGCAGAATACCAAAAAATGGTTAATGGAGCAACGGATTTCTTTAAGCCTCTTCTAGATCAAATAGTCCTTAAAGCCTTGTTATATTTTTTTTTCTCTGTTACTTTCCCAGGTCTCTCTGATTCTACCGAACTGTCACTAGATTTCCGTACCCTTCGAACAAGACTCAAGCTTGCCATACATTCTCCTAACTCAAAATTCCAAATGTTACCCAGTGGAGATGGAAGGGAACTGGCAYAGAGCAAGGAATTAAACATTATCTCTATCCTCATCATTGAGCAAATACTCTCAACCAGCTTTTGTTTGGGATTTATTCTCACCAGTGTTTCACCTCTAGTATCTATGTGTTTTAGTCAGCTTTTTCACTGCTGTGACCAAAAGACCTGAAAACAATTTTAGAGGAGGAAACATTTATTTTGAGGCTTAAGGTTTCAGAAATCTCAGTCCATAGATGGCCCGCTCCTTGCTCTGGGCTGGAGGATAGGCAGAAGAACATGGTGGAAGGGTGTGGCAGAGGAAAGCAGCTGAGAATATGGCACTAAGAAGCAGAGAGACTTCACTGGCTAGGGACAAATATAAACCCCAAAGGCACATCCCCAATGACCTACCTCCTCCAGCCATACCCTACCTGCCTACTGCTACCACCCAGTTAATCCCAATTAATCAGAGATTAATTCACTGATTGGGTTAAGGGTCTCATAACCCAACTATTTCACCGCTAAACCTTCTTGCATTGTTTCACATGAGAGGTTGGGGGACACCTAATTTTTAAACCATGGCATTCTGCCTTAAGTTCATTGATGACATGTGTTCCAATTGCAGAGAAGATTTTGATTCAAAACTTACAATTTAATCTTAAATATAAATTAAATCAACAAGACAACAGCCAGGTGCCGTGGCACACATCTGTATTCCCAGTGGCTCAACAGGTTGAAGCAGGAGGATTGATAGTTCAAAGGCAGGCTCCGCAAAAGCAAGGTGCTAAGCAACTTAGAAGACCCTTTAAATAAAATACAAAAATAGGGCTAGGGATGTAGCTCAGTGATCAAGTACCCCTGAGTTCAATCCTCAGTATTTCAAAAAAAAAAAAAAAATCAGCAAGACACCATTTTTCCATCTTCTAGGTTGATACAGATATATTGAGTTAGCCTGGGTTTGGGAAATAGGCCTTCATATATATTGATGGTGAAAACAAAACAGTAAACCTTTGGAAGGAAATTTAACAAAGTTGATCATAATTTTATATGCATATACTATTTACCCAGTAATTCTTTGTGTAGACATTGAAGCCACAGATAAATTCATACTGTGTAAAAATATTTGTTGGAAAACCATTTTAGTAACAAAAACCTAGGAACAACCTAAAGGTTCATCTATAGGAAGTGGCTAAAATACACACCCACTGAAAAGAATGAAGTCACTTTATATGTGCTGATGTGGAACCATCTCCAGATCACATTGCTAGATGAAACAAGCCAAGGACATATTAATGTATAAAAGTAAGGACCTCATGCAAGCCTGATAACATGCAGTGTGCACTCAGACACATCCCATATACCATGACTTTCCTTCTTGTTGTTTGTGCCAGTAGTAAATATTTTTAATGTTGTTCTTCAAGACATACGTGCATATGTGTGTACACATTCCTTCAGATATCTCTAGAAGAATGCATAAGAAACTAATGATTGTTGGGTTCTGTAGAAAGGAAGAGAAAACCTGAAGTTCGAGAGGGATTTACTACTACTCCTTTCCTTTCTATACCATTCAAATTTAATTATGTGCAAGTACTATGTTAAAATTAATTAAAACACAATTGTAAATATACCCCAAGTTCAATAGCAAGTAATAGTAATACAAGTTGAAGACAAATTAGTACATCAATGTGAGACCATTTCAAAACAGCATACCAGTTGTTTTCATAAAATGAAATGGGTCGAATTATAGAAAATGATATTCATACAGTCCACTGAAGTAATCAGCTAAGAAGAGGCTACAAGTCTGGGGGTTTTAACTTACCCCTGCCCACACCCATTATCTCCCAAAAAGACTGACATGATGTTACACCTAAATCCAGCTGCCTATCAGAATACCACTGACGTATCAGATGGAAAACACTAATCAAATCAGGGGAAAATAGAAAACATCTTAACAGAGGTATGATTAAATTTGGTAAATCTATTCCAAGGTATTTATACAAATTTTAAAATAGTCACTATGAAAATAATCATCTTAATTTTTTGTAGTATATTGCTTAACATAGAATGCTTATACAATATTATTGCAACCGGGTAAAAATAGACCTGCATTTTACATGACTGGGAAGACATGGTAAAATTTAAATTGTTATATTTATAATTTGGTTATAGGATTTTATTTATACTTTCAAAATGTCTCCAATTTTGTTTGTTTTGTAATATGAAAAGTCATTGAGACAAAAATATTAGCAAAAGAAACTTCACTGAATGGTCTTAATCAAGTCATTCTAGAGCCCAACACATCACCCCAGCTGCTTGAGAGCTGAGACAGGAGGATCACTTGAGCCCAGGAGTGTGAGACCTGCCTGGGCAACATAGTGAGACCATTTCAAAACAGCAACCRAGACATTTGAGGAAAAAATTCTGGCTCCATTACTGGAACCTTTAATTTTGCAATTTCTGTATCTGAATTTATAACACAATTATATTACTACTAGTCCAATTTCTGCACAGGGATGTCATTCAGTGAGCAAGAAAGACGTAAGTAAGGATGGCAAAACAGTTTGAGCTTCCAATGTAAATTGAAAGTCTGTAACAAGAGATTTCAGAAGATGTTAAGATGAAGAACTGACTTTCCAAATCAAGGATTTAAGACCACATCACTCTACTCTAGGTAGCTTCCTCTCATGATGTTCAGGGCGAAGCCAACTCCGGTGGCCTGGTGTTCTAGGACATCACTCTTCAGACTTCACCTCTCACTCCAGTACGTCTGGAGATCTTCACTTACTTGTCTCTGACCCTTTGTGAGAGCTCTCCTCTCTAATTTCTATCTTCTCAGTTTTTTCCAGACCTGTCAGTTGGGGCTGGGCTTGGTAGCTCAGTGGTAGAATGTTTGCCAAGTATGCACCAAGTCCTGGGTTCAATCCCCAGCACCAGGGGGAAAAAAAAAAAAAAGACTTGCTATTTTTTCCATGAAATCCTTTGTGATTGCTTCAAAGATTGATCTTTAAAAATTACAGCCCTTATCATCATTCTCATCACTAGAAACTTCTTTGTGACATCTCTTGTATTATTATTTAATTAGTCTTGGTTTAATGTCATGCCTCTATATAGGGAGTAAAGCCTCTGAAGGAATTTGTATCTCTTAATGCCTTACATATTGTGGAATCTCAGTGTTTGTGAAACACTGAAAGATATTACTCTCCTGGAATGGTTTTATTTTAGGCACCCACTAAGTACCTACCAAGTGAATGACTCACATTAATGACATTGTAATAAATAGGTTTTGCAGTCTACTTTGTGTCTTTTTAGTAAAATTCATTGCTGCACAAATGTTATTCTAAGAACTGACAGAGGTTACATTAAAATGTGATGTGAATATTAGTTACAGTGACTAATGCCCCAAAGGGGAATTGGACAAATCTACAGAGAAAAGAGATATCTTAATTATTTCAATTAGYGTAATAACTCCTGGCCTCAGGTGTCTTCCAATAAAGTTCAGT